TGTCATTGATTATCTTCTGTGCAGTCAATCAGCAGTACCTTTCGTTGCCGATATTAGGCCTGTCATTTCGGTTCCTTGGAGGCCGCACATAGGGCTAGAAATTGTCTTGCGTAGGTCTGGGGACCAGCTCTTGACAAGGATCTTAGAGACCCCTGGGCGCCTCCCACAGGTTCCTCGGCCGTGTAAAGAAGCCATTGGTGGGTCAAAATCTAGCTTGGCTAAAGCTTCGCGTAGGGTGCAACATCAGCTTGCCGTCGAGAAGCGAGCCGTTAAGTTTTCTTCTTTGTTCGAGGATTGCTGGCAGAACGAGCAATCCGCTGCTGCGATCTCTGTGGCTGACGGTCTTGGGGAAAATGACCAGTCGGTCGCAGGGATTGGGGAGCAGTTCAATGACCCTTTCAATTTTGACGAGTGGCCTGAGGAGGAAGACCCGTGGGCCGAAGAATTATCTTTCTGCCCTGACTCCTCCCTCCTCCCCGCTCTCACTGCAGCGTCTGAAGTAAATGATGAGCAAACCAGTATGCTAAGTAATTCCCAGCCTGGGCCCCCTTGCAGGTCTCACGAGGTCTCCAGAGGTGCGCCTGAAGTGGCCGAGCAGTCTGGGGTGGAGCCTTCGAGCGTTGCGGCTCCTGCTCCTGGCCATCCTCAGCCGCAGACCCTGGACTCCTCTGGGGCAGGAGGCCCTCTGGGGCTTGGGCTGGAAGGGGAAGGCTCTGGAGGAGCCCCGTCGTTCGCTATCCCAACTGATCTGTGGACTAGATGTAGGCGTGATGTAGGGTTCATTTCTGGGGCAGCCACTCTTCAGTCTCTCGCTCCTGCTCTGCGTCAATCCGTAGCCGTTCGGCTCAAGCCTGTTGAGCTTGAGACTATTTCAGGCCTCTACGCCTCTTGGGTGTCTGCTGTCGAATCCACCATCACGTCTCATCATGGAGTGGACCTGCCGCGAGGCCCTTCGAGAGCCACGGGGCCCAGGTTCACGGTGACCACAGTGAAGCTCCCGCAGAGGGTACGTGCGACGCCGCTGCGGGATCAGGTCAGCGGGTGGTGGGCGCAAGTCAACGTGCTGCTCGTCGGCCTAGTGTTGCACAGGACGAAGGACAATGGGGCTCTGCAAGTCGAGCGCTACGTGCAAGGT